GTCAATTTGTGAGGTTGGAACTGGTCCCCTTGCTGTCCTGGCAGCAGGCGTGCCCACCTCAGTGGCATTCCTATTATATGTCGCCAACATACCCAAAGAGATGGGCTAGCCACCAACCCCAGCTGTTGGATTCCAGTCATGACCCAAACAGCCATAGGTACATGGAAGTCCATTCCAGCCTCATTCCATTCCAGTCCCCCTACCATGAACCCAATGACACCTTGGCAGTGTCTCATTATAGCTTCGAGAGTGCATTTGATCCATCACCTGATGACGTGGTAGGGGATCCAATCCAAGTGTCTCCCAGTGAGGATCTGTGCCTCAGTGGAGAGCAGATCTTGAGAATGGCCAAGGCCCTTGATATTGATGTTATCACTTTGAACAAAAGACCAAAAGACAGAATCCTGAGTAGCCTTTATCCTGACTCCCCTGGCATAGTAGCGTCTCCCATCCTGGAAGGCCTCACGGATTTTACAGGCCCAGTTTGGTAGAAAACAGCCTCCACTGCCACCACCCGTCATAGGATAGAAAATGTGGTTTGGTTTGTGACAAAATTTGACCCTACCGGACACATTCCTGAGCATTGTTTTCCTGTCCTCAGGGTGGTATTAAGATCATTGGTGGTTGGAAGAGGCCAGCCTGTTTACTGGGGTCCAGTTTGGGTTCAGGGTTCCCCATGTCACTCTTACCACAGATGAACATATGTAGCTGCCTTATACTGAATCAGACCACTAGTCCATCACAGTCAGTAGTGTCTACTTAGACGGGCTGCAGCTTTTCAAGGTCATAGGCTGAGGTCTTTCACATCACTTCCTACCTGATTGTTTTAACTGGAGATGCTGGGGATTGAGCCTGGGACCTTCTGAAGACAATGCCTCATTGTCAGGCTGGGATGCCTACTGTGAAGGTTTTTCAGTATAGTGGCAGTGGTCCTCTATTAGAAGAGACCCCCATATCAATGTTTTAGAGTTATGTGTAGTTAGGTTTGTCCTTACCTCTTTCACATATATCCTCGGGGGCAAGAGGATTCTGATTTAAACAGACAATACCTCCACGGCGTATTATTTCAACAAGCAGGGTGGTACAGGATCCCAGAGACTCTGTCTGGAAGTGATAGCAGCATGGGAGGTGGCCACGAACATCGGGGCATCTCACGGGGCTATTCACATAGCTGGAAACCTGAATGTGGAAGCAGACTTACCTAAGCAGGGTATACTGGACCAACCACAACTGGTTAATCAAGCCCAAATATCTCAACACAGTATTCAGCACCTGGGGGGGTATCCCCAAGTGGATCTGTTCACCACAGAAGTCAAAGAAGGCCCTGGAATTTTGCTCCCTAGCAGGCCGCGATCCAGGCTCATTGGGAAACCCATTTCAGATTCCCTGTTTGTGGACACTGTTCTACGCATTTCCCCCCTTTCCCCTTCTGAGGAGGGTGATAGGGAAACTAGTGTCAGAGGGATCAGACTGTATTCTGATAGTCCCCCTTTGGCCTTGTCAAATCTGGTTTTTGGAATTGTTCTGCATAGTGGGCTCAGTTCATTATGTTCCCTCCTGCCCCAGATTTACTGACAAACTGCCCAGTATTGCACCACGATGTGACATGGCTGTACTTTCCAACATAGAGGATTCGTCACTAAGGCAGTTCTTTTCCCCAGGGGTGTGAGATATACTGATTCAGGCCTGGAAGTCTTTTACAAGGTATTCCTATTGTAGAAAATGAGTGCACTTTGAATCTTGGATGTCATCTAAGGGATGATCTCCCTTCGTTTGCTCTCACTATCTTTTGGTTTGGAGTATCTACTTTCATTAGCACAGGAAGGATTAGCCATCTCCTCAGTTAAGACCCACCTCACAGTCATTTTGGCATTTCATGAGGCGGTAGAGGGTGGCTACCTTTTTTCCTACAAGCTGGCCCAGTGTTTCCTTAAAGATAAAGGTAAAGGTGTCCCTTGCTCCAAAGCCAGTCGAATCCGACTCTAGGGTTGCGGTGCTCATCTCCGTTTCAAAGCCGAAGAGCCAGCGCTGTCCGAAGACGTTTTCGTGGTCATGTGGCTGGCATGACTAAACACCAAGGTGCACGGAACGCTGTTACCTTCCCACCGAAGTGGTACCTATTTATCTACTTGCAATTTCTTGCTTTCGAACTGCTAGGTTGGCAGTTGGTGTTTCCTT